ATTGTGGACATTGCCTTCCTGCTCCTTACCGACGTCACTACTTTCTCTCAAGGTTTTGCCACCTTGACATCCCCTCATTCTAGTCTTATTCACTTCCAGCATTAGCAGCAAGTCTTTTGCCATCGGCCATCTTGCTTTTCCCGGCTACATATCGCCTGCAGGCTGGTTACGCCTGGGCCGTCCCGCTGTTTGCAGCCACAAGTCGTTTCCCCGGTTTTTGCCTGCCGTACGCACGTTATCTCAGGGCCATCGCAGCTGTACTTTGCTGGGTCTTTGTCGGTGTTCCGCTTTTGCTCCATTTTCCTCGTTAGGTCCGTTTCCTGAGATTTCCTGCTCGGGGTGTGGTCTTGCGCTTCTTGCCTCTGGAATTTTCGATTTCCGTTAAGGAATGAGCGTGGCCGCATGGCCAACTCCTGGCTGTGTGCCGCGCAGAATGTGGGCCGTAGGGCTCGCGTGGTAGTGCGGAAGCATAGGTGACGGGATGTGATCCATGTGGAAGCAAAATGATACTGGAACAAGTAGGGAGGTGTCGACTGTATCATTTGCTGGTGGTCAGTTGTATGGGTTAGGTGAAGGTGTATGATGTGTTACTGGTCTTCTGTCGAGTGGACGAGCGATTATGTCCAGTGATCGGTAGGACTTGATCTGGCGCATGGGTATGCTATTTAAATAGGCATATCCGTCTATGAAGTGAATGAAACGTTGACTGCATTGATAAATGGGTATCCTCACCTTTTCACTCAAGAGCATACCGTTACAGCTAACCAGAAACGTGCAGGAAAATGATATTCGCATGTTTCAGCGTGCTACGCAGTTTTAAATGTGAGGGCCAATTCCCACGCGGTACTTCATCCTCTAATCGTTGATCTGCAGCACCGTCTTTGCACTTGAGCCAGGTTTGAGTGTTCACACAGCCACCTTATCACCGCCATTGTGCTCTCTTGTGCTGTGCGCTAATCATATTGCGCTAATAATGCGTGCTCTCTTGTGCTGTGTGCTAATAATACGTGTTCTCTTGTGCTGTGTGCTAATAATATGTGCTCTCTTGTGCTGTGTGCTAATAATATTGCGCTAATAATACGTGCTCGCTTGTGCTGTGTGCTAATAATACGTGCTCTCTTGTGCTGTATGCTAATAAGACGTGCTCTATTGTGCTGTGTGCTAATAATACGTGCGCTTTTGTGTTGTGTGCTGTCAAATACTTAGTCAACCGGCTTGATCTATTCTTGCATATCTCGCGCCGCGCAGGTCATCATCATAGGCATTAGTACTCCACTGTGCCGGCGGTGGGCGTGCCAACGCGATTGCGGCGCGCGGCCCGAGATGAATTTGTCATGGATCCCTCCCTAACGAGATTCGGCTGTGTTGCTCAAGCAACGTACAGTTGAACAATGTTGTGGCATGTTCTCGCAAGTTTAATGCTGGGAACGGCACACTGCAATGACATCTCTTGCGACGCTTCCCTGGATGATGCAAGACCTGGGAAGCGACATTTACTCTTGCCGAAATGTTCGCCTTTCCCCTGACATTTCGGGACACCCCGGAGTGCTTCTGGGCCGCGTCTCCTGCCTGTCGCCCGCTCGTGCTGCGCTCCTCGGCGACACTCCCTGTCCGCGCCGGTGCCGTGCGACTCAGCCGTCCGGTCGGCAGCCTGCTTCTGTCCATGTCGGCACGCACCATCTCACGCGCCGTCACGCGGCTGTCACGCGCTGTCACGCGGCCGGCGGCGCCGCGCGACGGTCACCTGCGCGTCGCATTTCTCCGACAGCCGGCGGCTTTCTTCCCGGCGGAACCGGGCGGGAGCACGCCGCGGTCCGGCGCGGCCGCGCGCCATAACTGGCCCCGCCGCGCCGTAACCGGCCCCACTGTGGACCGTTGCATCACGCGCGTGATATACCGACGGTCACCGCCGGCCGTCGGGAAATGAAAAGTCGGGCTGGCGGCTACGATATGGGAGAGCGTAATGTAGGCCTGGATATGGGGGGGGGGGGGAGGGGCGTGGTAAGAAGTACGGGGTGGGGCTGCGCCAGGGCAGCCCGAGTGGATTGAATAGCATGTGGCTAAGGAAAGTGTTCTGGCAACTTATACTTTTTGCTGGAGTAACGCAAATCAATTCTGACGACATACGAATGTAATCACAGTATTCCTGTTAACAAACTTAAAGTGCTGGAGTGCACTCGATGCCTGGCATTATCATTGGAATATTATCAGATAGCCCACTAAAGTTTCCTCTTAGGCATGTTCAAAGTCGTTGCCAGCCTCCGCGGTACACGCCGAGTTTGGTTAGCTTCGGCCATGGTGGCCAATGTCGTCACGATTTGCTTACAGTGCGTTCGATGCTCGCCATCACGTACCACTGTTTGTGATCTCGGTCTACACGTTCCCCTCGGCATCCTCAGCCCCCCCCCCCCCTCCCCCAAGCTGCCCTGCACGCAGAGCCGTCGTTAGACTGCTGCGGCGGCCGGCGCCTGGCCGGCGGCGCTCCCGTGCTACGCCCACTGTGGCGCCCTCTGTCACCTGCCGGGCTCATCGGGCTGATGAGGCGGGCAGACGGGATTGAAGTGCTGCCGCGTGTTGGCTCGCGGCGTCTGCCCAGGGGACCGGGCAGAAGAAGGTCAAGGCGCTAGGCAGACGTGCTCGAAGCGACCCCGTGTGAAGTCCCTGGTGAGAGGGATCCCGCTCAACTGGATGTAAAATGCCAGGTTATGTCATTGATATATGTGGACAAGGAAAATGTGCCACGTAGTTTGCTGCACGAGAGCGCGGCTATTATGTATGGCTGGTGTTAGTTACGTGGCATACCACTACGGGCATAATCGCGAGATCGGTGTGTGAAGTTAGCCCATTTTGAGTGGACATGTATCCGTCTCTTCAAGAAAAGATCGGTCTTGCTGTGCCGGTGTGGGGGAGGTGCCTCCAGTGGCTCTAAAGCAGCACCGACGAGAACGCCCTCGGTTTGCCAACGCATGAGATGCTTGAGAACGTGATGAGAACTGTGGGCTCGCTTCTGAGAACATGATGAGAGAACATGAGAGCATGATGAGAGCCGTAGATGCGCCTCTGAGAACGTGATGAGAGCCGCGTCAACATGGCGCTGCGGTGAGAGGAGTTGCAGAGCCCCGTCGCTCGCAACGCCTTGATGTGAAAGCTCGGTAATGGGATCATTCAAATTGTTTCGTGCAGCTTATTTGGTAAGGCCGCCAGCCGCCCCGTTTTCCGCATTGCGTTTGCAAGCTGACACATTTGGCAGCGCGTTCAGAGCTTACCGTGTCGCAATCGTGATAGGAGTTGAATGCGAAGTGTTGACTTAAAGCTGTGGTGATCGTGCGGTGTGGCTTATGGACTTACAAACGAATATGGTGGAACAACATGTCTTAAAGGGAGTGTTCCACATTTGTATGGGAGTTTGAGCTGAAATAGCCACCTTGAAGACCTTTCGGTGCTGGTCACAATCATGCCATTCTTGAGACCTAAGGCGGCCTGGTTTCTGAGGTACACACCCTCGAAAAGGGAAAGGTAAATCGGGGAGAGTGTTTCAAAGTCAGCTTGGCATTCTTGGCGTCATAATAACGCCATTCAAATCCTGCCATTCCATAAGCCATACGGCGATCATTTTCAAGAAAATATTGTTATCGAGGCGTTCATAGCTGGCGTTCGTGAGCGCAATTTCCAGATATAACGGCCGTCAACTGGCTCTCAGTCAATGTCGTGCAAGGAACCATGGCGTAATCAAACCATGACGCACTGGGGAACATATTTATTAAACAGAACGTTGTGCTGTCCTAAAGTAGTCTTTTCCACTTAAAAAGAGCACCCATAGTTATGAGTGCGGTCGTTTCATCATCCAAAAGTGAAGCATTTTCTCTAAGAAGGAAATGTCGGGCATGCGTGGGGCTTTGCAATGAGATGGGCAGGTTGTATGCCATCGATCGTCCGCAAATGGTTCGCACGCCTGATGATCATTTTTCAAAACGACGTCATACACCACGTCTTTTTTAAAAACGGTAGAAAACATGTTTCGGCTTCAACGCTGCGCAGCGGTTGTCCTTGGCGTGCCGTTTGCATGCTCCGCAAAATAAAAATACAAGTGCGCACACGAGAACTACGTCTCGCATGCTCGGGTTTTGTGGTTAGGGACCGCACCCGGGATCGAACTGCAGCGGTAAGACTGGCCAGCTCTGCTCGACTGCAGACGGTAATGTCTTGCTGTGACGCAGGCCTGCAGCTTGCTAACGCTCAGCCTGATAAGCCCTGGCTGTACACGCCAGGTTTGCTCTCTGGATCCGCCCCTGGTACTGTCCGTACCGCAGTGCGACGCCACTGCTGACATAAAATGCCAAGCTGTCGCCGTATGGCTCACGTGCTGTCTGATGTCGCTGTATGCCTCACCTGCTGTCAGAAGCAGTGACAATTGCCGGTGCGGTCAGTGCCGACACGTATCGCTGTGGTGTGGTCCGTGTCGCATGCTGATCGGGGAGAAAGCGGTCCCTTCGTTCCAAGCCATATGGCGCGGTGCGTCCGACTCTGAAGGGCTTCAGCTGCGGCCGTCTGTTCAGGGTCAGTGCCCCGCAGCCGCTCTAAGCTGGCGCCGGTGTGACCCATGTGGACCGTTAACCAGAGCTGGCGTTCCTGTGCCTCTCTGGGGGACGGAGAGCCCGAACCGGTGCGGCTGCTGGCACCACTGCGCGGTCTCGCGATGACACCAAGGCCGAGATCGTTGTGGCGGATTATGACGGCGGCATTGAGACGACCGGATGATGACAGACAGCGGGCGGTGACGGGTTGGGCTCGTGCTGAGGCCAGTGCTCGGACGCGGGTCGATGCTACCAGCGTCGGATGCGCTGGGCGCTCGTGGACGCGTTTCCGCGCCCGCCTGGGTACGACCTGTCAGGCGGCAGACACAGTCCGCCCGTCTCCAGACACTGTCGAGCGCGCCGTACATGTATTACCGTCTGCGGGTCCGTGTCAGCGCGCGTTTGACGGGGTTGTTTTCTGTTCAGTTTCAGCCGGGATGGGCCGTGTACAGGAGGACGACCAGACGCCCCAGAGCGGGCGCCGGCTCATTAAGGCCGACCCTTCGCTCGCCGTGCCCTGCTCCACCACATTCGTAAGTCACGTGGCCGAGCTGGGATCATGGGCTTTAGGGCTGGAACAGACTTTTAGTCCGATTATAGGTTGTTACGACTTTAGTGTGATTGCACACTTGTGCAGTTGTAGACCAGCACAGTTCTTTAATATGCACAGCTTGTCCTCAGTGTGACATTGAGCATGTACAAAAGGTAACGCGCTCGCAGATAGGTGTTTCGGCGCAAACGTACCGTAGTATATTTAAGTATCTGTAGCGGCATCATACCATTAGACAATCGGCCTGTTAAGCCTGCAGCAACGAAAATAGTTGATAATTATCCTAAACATAAATGCGTCGCAACGTGTCCTTTCACACACTGTTGGCCGCCGTTGTCGGTGCATTCCGCTTCTTTGAACTCGGCAAGTCAGCCCGTGTTCATCGATCCACATTTACGCGTCTCCAACGTGACTCACGGCCGTAAAGTTGACGCCGCTGCAACGGCAAGGTTAACGGGCATATCGATCTGCACAGTCATCAGATGTCAGATGTCATTGCGTGTCCGGTACGAGCGCGGCTCCTGTTTTAGATGCGGACTACTCCGGTTTGACCTGCCGAGCTCGTTGAAGAACGAGGCCTTAAACTTATGAGACCTTAGACCCACGCTATGAGAGACGAGTCAGACGCATTCTTTGCGAGATTGCTTTTAACTTCATTTGTCGTATTTCGATGATAATTGCGGTTTTGCTGTCCCCGTGGCTGGCATTGCGAAATTTAGCACTTTCTCTCAGCCGCTTCGAGTTTTGAATGCAAGGGAAAACGCAATATTGGTGATTCCTTTAAGGTGCGGCTAGCTCACCACTAACAAGGGAAGCCTGGTCACAAGTTACCGTCTTATACGGCACAGCAGATTAGGCTGTGATTCTGTTGGACGTGAAGACCAGGGGCAAACTGTTTACCAAAAGGGAATCGCAGTACTTGCGTGATGCGCTCAGGATGTACACAACTAGAATAAATCGAACTTATATGCGTTTTAGCAAGTGTTCGTAAATGCACAATGTGACTGCATAAGTGGAACATTTGTCGTTTTCGTGCCCAAATGCGATTGTATTAGTGAATCGACGGTTGTTTTTGTGTCAGTCAAGTTACGACAGAGTATGTATGACCGTCGATGATAACACAGGTCACCAAGTTCGCCGACCTTCGCTTGCAACGACCCGGTTCTCCACGATCGTGCCCCGCCCGTTACGTAATCGGTGGTTCGAGCGTAACGTCCAGCGGCCCGGCCCGGAGGAAACGCAGAGCCACTGGAACGCATTGTGTGCCTGGAACAATGGGCGCTCCTGTTTTCTCCCGCTGTCATGGCTTCATTGTGCACCTGCCATTCCCTGGGCCCCAATGAACTAGCGTGCTCCGGTGGCGTGGGCCCCGACCAGTGATTAAATCCGGACACTCTCCGATAAACGCTCCCGCTGGAAGAAAGCACTTTCGGTGATATATCTGCTGGCGCCCCGGCGCCCCACGGCTGGCCGCTGCCTACTTTTGGCTGTTACATTTGGTGTTGCTTTCACGATCATGACGTGGCCTACGTTGACAAGGCAAACTTCTGTTGATGGATTTGCATTTTGCTTGTGAATCGTATGGATTTGGTGTGAACCAAATCTGCAAGAGGTGAACGCGTATCAAACTTAAGACTTGGTGGTAAACCTTCCATACTTCCCAAACAGTCCTAAAATACAAACGAGCTGTGTACAAGTCCCGCATGTCATGACCCTCGGCCGCCGTACCCACATTCTTTGTACGAGTCATACTCCACTAATGTCTCGTTCCATCCGCCTTTGTACGAGCCACAATCCACCAATGTGTCGTTCCATCCGCCTTTGTACGAGTCATACTCCACCAACGTCTCGTTCCATCCGCCTTTGTACGAGTCATACTCCACCAACGTCTCGTTCCATCCGCCTTTGTACGAGCCACACTCCACCAATGTCTCGTTCCATCCGCCTTTGTACGAGTCATACTCCACCAACGTCTCGTTCCATCCGCCTTTGTACGAGTCATACTCCACCAACGTCTCGTTCCATCCGCCTTTGTACGAGCCACACTCCACCAACGTCTCGTTCCATCCGCCTTTGTACGAGTCATACTCCACCAACGTCTCGTTCCATCCGCCTTTGTACGAGTCATACTCCACCAACGTCTCGTTCCATCCGCCTTTGTACGAGCCATAACTCCACCAACGTCTCGTTCCATCCGCCTTTGTACGAGTCATACTCCACCAACGTCTCGTTCCATCCGCCTTTGTACGAGCCATACTCCACCAATGTCTCGTTCCATCCGCCTTTGTACGAGCCACACTCCACCAACGTCTCGTTCCATCCGCCCTTTGTACGAGCCACACTCCACCAACGTCTCGTTCCATCCGCCTTCCATGCGCCCGGTGCGGTGCATGGCAGCTATCAAACGGCAATGGATTCAAATATCATGGAAAGAATATGGAAATAGACCCCGGCGTCTGCGAGCCGTTCCATCAACCAATCAGTGCTCCTTACATGCACCCCGAGCCTGTCCGTCCTGATATAGTCGAGCCCGGCTGAACCAATCGGTCGCGGGCTGAACCAATCGGCTGCACTCTGACGTCATCGCCGTTGCCAGGACGACGACGACGACGACGACCCGGACTTTCCGGAGACGCCGGCCACGCCCCAATGTGCCGAGCCGGCGGCGCGTGGCGGCCTGGGGCTGGGGTACCGGACCACGGGTGGACCCGTCAGCTCGCACTGGCACCAGAATAGTGAGTCGAGTTCTCGGCTGCGCCTGGGAGTCGTTGCAGGCATCTACGTCAGTTCTGGGTGATGGGGGACAGTGCTGAGTGTCTGTCGTCGCGGGGGAGCTAAGGGGGCTTTGGAGAGTGCAGTGTGGTGCAGAGTTGAATTGTGTCGTTTAGTTAATGGAAGAATGTCACAGTGTATGCCTCTTGAGGGGATTGGTTGGGTCGGTGCTTAAACTGGATTGATTTCATTTGATTGATCGGTTGGGCAGTTTGCACAAACTTAATCTGGCATGCATTTTCAAGCTGATTACGATCAAGAAATTGGTAAGTCGGGAAGGATTGCATGTTAACAACTCATTATATCGCACCATTGCACAATGGCATACCATAGTCGTTTGAATGCTCGGTGTCGTGTCACGCGCAGCTAGTCGATAACCCAGCAACTGGGCCCTCATGCCAGTTCGATAACCCAGCAACTGGGCCCTCATGCCAGACGTCCGCTCAAGGTCAAATCAGGTCTCGACTGCCTGCATGCCTTTGGTCATGAGCATCGCGTACCTGCAGCACGCACTTATTGAACAGCAGGATGGGCAGCAGATTCGTGCCGACGTCTGCGTTGCCGCGATACTCAGGAGTAGACGTAGTTGCACCGCCGCCGTTTCACAAGGCTGGGTGACATAGCGAGCAGGGATCCAGCGGAAGGCCTGGCGTAACTGTGTTTTTGTGGGCACTCAGGATAGCATACGTTCCCTGCACAGTCAGCTATGATTGATCAGCTGACCCTGCACAGTCTGCTATGATTGATCAGCTGACCCTGCGCAGTCAGCTATGGTTGATCAGCTGACCCTGCGCAGTCAGCTATGATTGATCAGCTGACCCTGCACAGTCTGCTATGATTGATCAGCTGACCCTGCACAGTCTGCTATGATTGATCAGCTGACCCTGCGCAGTCAGCCATGGTTGATCAGCTGACCCTGCACAGTCTGCTATGATTGATCAGCTGACCCTGCACGGTCTGCTATGATTGATAAGCTGATTTTCGCACTCGCTGAACCACTGGTGCACTCGCTGCATGATGTTTACACTTTGTTGATTGCTGTTGCGTACCGTTAGGTTAGTTCATTGTTTGCCCTAGATACATGCGGGCACTGCGCCGCAGAGCAATAACGCCAGAGATTTATATGGCGCATGGTATGGTTAAGATTGAGCTCAGATCATCACAATGTCCCATTCAACCCACAACCATTTGCCGTTGCTGCGTTCAAAGCCCGCCGTCCATATAACCTACCATGCCTATGTAATTATGTCAGCATCTCAAATGCTCTCGCCCTCACCAAACGCATGTAGAGCACCAGGTCACTACCGTATCCAAGCGTGTAGCTCGCATCCTTAGCTCCCCCGCCCTCCATCACACCCGCGTAGGCCGTCCCGCCCCTGACTTGACCGCCCGCCGCCCCGACACCCACCGAGTGGCACTGGACCTGGCCACGCAGCGGGTCAGCTTCAAGTCGGACCGGCGCCACACGCTGGCGGCAGCGACCGGCCGGCGGCGATGTCCCGGCCCGGCTCAGCGCTGTCGGACCGCAGCGGCGGCAGCGACGACGCGCCAAGCCACCCGCACCAGCCCGGCAGCCACGTGGCCTCCCGAGCCTCCAGCGCCAGTTCCTCGCCTCGGTGGGTGCAGACTGGAGAAACAGGTCCCTCGCCTCGGTGGGATGCAGACCCGCGGGCCAGTTCTCGCCTCGGTGGTGTTGCAGAACCGCTGGGCCAGTTCCTCGCCTCGGTGCGTGCAGGCTGCGGGCCAGATTCCTCGCCTCGTTGGTGTGGCAGGCTGCGGGCCAGTCACTCGCCTCAGTGCGGTGCAGACTGCGGGTCATGTTCCTCGCCTCGGTGGGTGCAGGCTGTGGTCAGTCACTCGCCTCGGTGGGGCAGGCTGTGGGCCAGTTCCTCGCCTCAGTGGGTGCAGACTGCGGGTCAGTTCCTCGCCTCGGTGGGTGCAAACCGCGGGCCAGTTCCTCGCCTTGGTGGGTGCAGGCTGCGGGCCAGTTCCTCGCCTCGGTGGGTGCAGGCTGCGGGCCAGTCACTCGCCTCGGTGGGTGCAGGCTGCGGGCCAGTTCCTCGCCTCGGTGGGTGCAAACCGCGGGCCAGTTCCTCGCCTTGATGGGTGCAGGCTGCGGGCCAGTTCCTCGCCTCAGTGGGTGCAGGCTGCGGGCCAGTTCCTCGCCTCGGTGGGTGCAGGCTGCGGGCCAGTTCCTCGCCTCAGTGGGTGCAGGCTGCGGGCCAGTTCCTCGCCTCGGTGGGTGTATACTGCAGCCCAGCTGACCGCTTAGTACCGCCAGGCCGGCCGCTGCCAAGCCAGCCGATACAACATTTGTGTTCGCTTTTAGCGAGTCGACGACGCTTTCCTGCTTTCGGTGCTTGCGATTTTGAAACCAATTAAAGGTGTGGGATCAGCCTCTTGGAGTGGAAAGTGGAAATGAACGCCCTCGATTCGAAAATCAATGGCACGTTTTTGCACATCGGTTAAATGCCATTGCAAAAAAGGAAGCCCTTTGCTGTTGGTGGCAAGAGCTGGACGAAGCTTTGTCATCGTCTGTAGGCACTGAAAGGATCAGATATGTAAGATCGACAGCAAAAAAGAAAACAACGACAAAGACCTATCGCCGTGAAACCCCAGTGATCGAATGTGCAGACCATGCACCCTGTCCGCTTCGAAGCGCCAGTCTTCCCGACGGTCTCCCAGCTGCAGTCAAACCATAAAGGACGACTGACCTGCTTGCCAGCGGACCGACATGACCATTACAGCTATTACAGCCAATCTGACCTGCCCCCACGCGTGTTCCAGTCGCAGTGGACGGACATGGAGTGTCTATCGCTGACGTTGGAGGAGGTGGTGCATATCCGCTCCGTCCTGACTAAGGCGGAGCTGGACTCGCTGCCGGTCGAGTGTCACATCAAGGAGGACGTGGCGCGCGGCAAGCTCTGCTTCCTCTGCATGAAGACCCGCTTCTCCTTCTTCGGCGCCAAGGGCCACAACTGCCGCCTCTGCCAGCGCGTTGTCTGCGCCAAGTGCTGCGCCAAGGTGGGTCGGCCTCCGGGAGAGGGATCGGGGGCGGAGGCAACGATAGCGGAGCTGACAAGGGCTGTTAGTGCTTTTCATAACCATCTTGATCGGCTTGTTTTGGATGAGCCGAGTGCTTCGGCATAGGCCAGAAGCGCGGCTATGTTTGGCGCGCTGGTCGAAATGGCGCTCGTTGGAGGACGCGGAATGACGCTGGCCTTTAAATACAACGGCTCAGTTCCAGGCCTTCTGGTGGCTTGCACAACTGATCAGTCAATAGAAGGGAAAGCTATCGCTTGGAGCCTCATCATTACTCAGCCCTAGTTGGATTCTGTGACTGGCGTGGGACATTTTTTTCATCAGTTGCCAAAGACATGGTCTGGGAGCGCACCGATAGCAAATACGGTGCCAGACAGTTGAACGCGATGGCGTATAAAGTTAGGGTTGTCCACGCGGGATTATTCGGGTATCACTTCCAGCGACTTGTTCTGTATCACTAGATTCCCGAGCGCTCGTAGAATTGATGTCGCCATTGTGGCCGGTTCGCTATCGGCGTCAGCTCACCGCTGGCCTCCGCGCAGTCAGTGAGAGCCGACGGTGACGCCCCCTCTCCTGCTGCAGATGAGAATACCGACCGAGCACTTCGCCAGTATCCCGGTGTACACGCTGACGCCGTCGTCGCTCTCGCCGCAAGAGGAGGAGGCTCGCTCCCTGCTGTCGCGTCTGCAGGTGCCAGAGATGCCCAGCTTCACCACTGGTGCGTCCGGTGCGGGTGGTGCCGACGGTGCGCGGAGAGGCGCGATTGGCCAGGGGATCTCCTCGTGCACAAAGTCCCAGGCGGTGGTGTGGGCCTGTGGGCTCATGGGGATGCTGTCCGGGACTGAAGGGCGGTGGTGTGGGTCTGTGGGCTCGTGGGGATGCTGTCCGGGACTGAGTAAGTAGTTGAGGTTGGTGTGAACGGTAGATAAGCAATGCGAAACAGATCGAAATTCCAGTGTTTGTGCAGCGAATATTCAGTGTTGGGTACATGTTTGTGCGGCTATGTTTGGCCCGGAATTCGGCAGAACTTTAAACAAATCGAAATATCTAGCTGGAGCATTTTCATGCTTCAGAAGCAATACGTGTAGCGGCGCATGTTCATGTATCCGGGTATCATCACACTCCCGTTTGCCCCCAGATCACACCTCGCGCTCGTCCCCAGATCACACCTCCCGCCTGCCCCCCGATCACAACCTCCCGCTCGTCCCCAGATCACACCTCCCGCTCGTCCCCAGATCACACTCCCGCTCGTCCCCAGATCCACCTCCCGTCGTCCCAGATCACACCTCCCGTTTGCCCCCAGATCACACCTCCCATTTGCCCCAGATCACACCTCCCATTTGCCCCAGATCACACCTCCTGTTGCCCCCAGATCACATCCTGTTGCCCAGATCACACCTCCTGTTTGCCCCCAGGTGGCTCAGACCCCACCTCACCGAACCTGTCGCGTCAGAGTCCGGAGCAGACGCAGAGTCTGCCGCCGCAGCCGCTGCTGCAGCAGGTCGAGTCCAAGCTGCGCAGGTGCGTGGACACTAAGGACCGTGGGGTGGAGCGGGTGGAGAGCTCACGGCTCCGATGCCTGCCGCGGGGGCCGAATTAACGTGCGGCTTCGGAGACACCGCAGAGTTGTGGCGACGTTCGGTAGCTGACATTGACCGCTCTGTCAAGCGGCTTAGACATTGAGACACGAAAAATCGATAGAATGCGCCCGTACCGGTAAAATCAATCGGTCACTACCTCTTTCCTCGGTGAAAAGCTGTTGGTATCGTCATACATGTTTCACGTATCACTTCGCTATCACTTTCTCCTGCGAACAACTATATCTGCGAACAACGTGCATCATCTTTACTGCCGTAATTGCTGTGTGTGTGTGTGTGTGTGTGTGTGTGTGTGTGTGTGTGTTGTGTGTGTGTGTGTGTGTGTGTGCGTGCGTGCGTGCGTGCGTGCGTGCGTGCGTGCGTGCGTGCGTGCGTTCGTCCGTCCGTGCGTGCGTGCCGTGCGTGCGTGCGTGCGTGCGTGCGTGCGTGCATGTGAAGCTGGTTGCAACCAGCTGGGCGCTGCGCTATGCACTGAGTCGCTCCCCGCGCTGACGCAGGGCGCGCCTGTACCGGTCGCGCACGCTGGCGCGCCCCGAGGACATCGACAGCCCGAAGTCGGACGGCGACCGCGACGAGTTAGCCTGGCGGGCGTGCTCATGACCGTCTGCAAGGACTGCAAGGCCATGGTCCTGCACATCATCGTCACCTGGAAGAAGCGGCGCGACCGCAGCAAGCGGGCCTCGGCGCCGGCGCGGCCGCGGTCTCTCTTCATCGCGGCCGTCCACTGAGGCGCATCACCAACATGGCGGCCTGCCGGCGAAGGCCGCGCTAGCCAGCATGGCGGCCGCCAGTCAAGGTCGCGTAGCAGCATGGCGGCCGCCGATGAAGGCCGCACAGCCGACATGGAGGGCGGTCAAGGTCGCGTAACACTATGGCGGCCGCCGGCAAAGACCACGCAGCCAGCATGGCGGCCGCTGGTCAAGGCCGCGTAGCAGCATGGCGGCCGCCGGTGAAGGCCATGCCTCCAAACGGCTGCTGCCGGTCAAGGCCGCGCCGGCGGATATGGGCGCACAGGGACGAATCGCCTTTCGCGTCTCACGGGGCGAGCGTGGGCCAGCTTCTAGTCGCAGTCGGTGTGGGTGGCGCGGTGGAGATAGTGGTGCCGCGCGTTGGCGGCGTCGCCGCAGCCGCGCGGGACACAGGTGTGTGTTGTGGCGTACTGGGTGAGCGGGACATGTTCACCGCTGCCGACGTGTACCTGGATTTCGGTTGCCAAATGACGGTCGCTGCTGTGGGGCGATAGCAGAGTGAATGGGCCGCGCTTGTCCTGATCGGGACCGCTGTCTTGGCGTGTGTGCAAGGTGAGCTGTTATTGTTTGGATTGCGAGAGACGTTGGAGAGCATTAACAGGTGTAGCTGTAACGTTGGGCACCTTTGCATGGCCCCAGCTTCGAAATACACGTAATTCCCATGCTTTGAGTAGGCTGTTAAAACGTGGGCCAGCCAGCGTTGTGACGTTTCTGATCGACTGTCGTGGGAAATGTAGCGTAACACTGCAACATGTGATACCCTGCGCGAGACATCAGTGGCCCATTCAGCTTGGTGGGCACCCTGTCAGCGAGGTGCCGCGTATCATTACTATTCCCTGTGTTTTTTAAACATTCTGGTGGCTCTTTGCATGGCTTATTACAGATTTGTTACCCCGATGGCGTGTTCTAGAAAGACAGACCAAGTTGAATGCGTGCTAATAAGTCGTGTCGCATCGTGCGAAATACGCATAGTATCATCTAATAATGGTGTGATCGTTGAAAATTATCACTTTGCCAACTACCTTATATCCAACCGCACAATACAGCGCATCCTCAACAAGAAACTATCTCCCTTCAAAAGCAAGGCCCTGTCCCATTGATAATATGCGTCTACACAGGACCCATTTTTAAAGTCTTAAGAAATCAATCGGTTTGCGCACCAAACAGCGACAAAAAGCCATGTGAAATGCTGCCTTTCGGCACACGTGCTTCTGTTGATTCCATCCAATGCATTGAGTAATGTTTTGTTCGCGCATAATCCGCCATTTTGTAGTCGGGGTAAGCGTCGCACAAATCCGGTTTTAGTACAAATTGAATGATTTGTCGCGGTTTGAATGTCATTTTACATCGTTATTTCCCGTTCGATTCATGGGCAGCTTCGTGATATTTTAGCGTAAGTGACAACCACGACACAAAATTATGGGTTGCGTCCTTATCGGCTTGCTTTCTGCATAAAGGTCGATGCGCGACAGGCTAAACCGCATTTCCGAAACATCCGGCTCGCGATGTCACGTACTATTGCTCGTGGTTTCGTCCCTGCCCAATATCATATCTTTCAGCAATGATATGTGAAACTGTATTCCACGATGCTTTGCGTCAATACCTTCTTAGATATCTGTATCTCAACTCTGTCCGTAGATCTCTTCACAGGAACTGTGTATTTTAAGCCATCGCCGACATACCGCACCACCGTTTTGGTCTTGTCCTTGTTTAGGGTGACCTTCTTCGCCGACTATCCTCTGCTTTCTTGGAACCTACATCTACACCTAATGCAGTTTGCTGGTCGCTATGCTGCCTCTGTACTTGTAAATAATATCTAAATATTGGATATAACAATAAAATATTTGTTGTTAGCACTTGTTTGCTAAATAATTCGACGAATGTACCTGCTGGTGTGTCCTGGCCCTGCGCAGGTCACATAATCGCGCTGACCTGGCGGCGGGGAAAAGAACCGGATGCAGAGAGCAATTGGCACCAGCGCAGCACAGGACGACCTATCCACTAACATTGTACATCATTAGCTCATACTTTGTCACAAGGCCGTCTAAGGAAAGACAATATCGCTTGTATGTACGGAGAACCCGTTACGCAGTTTATTCGAGTCTTCACATTATGACATATTATATGAACGCATGTCACTGGGCTGCTGGACGAACGCGTTACACAAGGGCGCGTGCTCTATACTCATAAAGCACAAAACGCCTCAGTAAAGCTGAATCACAGCCATCACCGCTGAATAAAGTATCAATCACTCGGCTGCCGCCAGAATGCATTACGCAACAGACGTACGCGATACGCTCACATCGCACACAACGCGTCGTGAAAACTTAATCGCAGCTATCACCGCTGGCGAGGCTGGTATACCCGTCACCGTCACTGGCACACTCGCACATCGCCGACGGCCGGAGCGCCGCCGCGCGAGCTGCACGCCGCCGAGCCTCCCACACCGGGGAGGCCCGCGCCTCGAGCCGCGCCGCCCGCCTCACTCATCCAGCTGCGGAGCTCGGAGCACGCGCTCCAGCGTGCTGCGCTCTGCCGGCGCCAGATCAGGATGCCACATATCCACCATGAGCAGGGCGCAGGCCGGGCCGCCGGCCGGGCCCGCGTGCTCGGCCCGATGCAGGTACGAGTCGTCGAACAGGAGGCAGCGGCCCGGCTCCCAGCGGCGCGCCTGGCCGTCCACCATCAGGTGACAGCCAGTCGGGCACCTCCAGGCCTGGTCATAGACGGCGCCCGTCAGGCCGCCGACGAAGCTGAAGTTTTCCCACGCAACACCAGCATCCACGCCTCTTCGCAGATCATTCCCGTCAGGCCTCTAAAGCAGCGGGTCTCACGACACTGTAGCCCCTCCCCCTCCCCTTCAGGCGGAACCGTGGAGACCACAGCAAGCGCACAGCAACCAGGGTGAGCGCATGCTGTTCAAGACATTACACGGATGATGGTTATGCATAACATGCATGGGGCCATTACCATGAAAATATTCGCACACACAACACAAGCACACACCAGACCTGCCTTTCCTGGTCTCGCTCTCGAATACCGTCCACATGCCCTCCCCTCCCCCACGTTCCCCGTGACGCCCACAGTTAGCCCCTACCGGCCCACACCCACTCACCCAGATGGCAGCGAACGCGGGCGTTGGTTGGCCCGCGGTGTGGCTCGATCCGCGTACCCGGCTCCAGCAGAGAGAAGCACACGTTCGAGAAGACCGTGCGGCGCATGACGCCGCTCAGTCGCGCCACCGCCGCCTGCGTGCGCGGACACACATCCCGCGCCACGCCCTGGTTCACCAGCCAGCAGACTCGCCAGGAGCCGGCCGGCGTCTCGTTGGCCGTCCAGAGGCGCGGCCGGCGGCGCGCGGCGCGCAGCTCGGCGGCCACCTCCGGCCAGGCGCGCTGCAGCAGGAGCACGTCCTCGGCGTGCGCGCCGTCCCACCAGGCGCGCTCCGAGAGGCCGGCCACCAGCAGGCGGCCGTCGGCACTGGCCGGCCAGGCGGCCAGGGCGGCGCGCAGCCGCGGCGTGACCGCCCGGCTCTCCGGCTCTCCGGCGCCGGCGCCGGCCGGCTCCAGCGCCGCGTCCAACCGGGCGGCGGCCCGCAGCGCCGCTTCCGCCCAGCCGTGGCAGCGCGTGCAGTCAAGCGAGCGACACTGGTCGGGCCGACGTGCGCGGCGCCGACTCAGCCAAGCGGCCACGGCCGCCGACAGCAGCGTGCCTGCCAGCAGCGACAGCGGCAGCTGCGGCTGCGACGGCTCGGCGCGCGGCAGCAGCGCGCCACAACAGTCCAAATCCATGACAGCGGCTGGCGACGGAGTGAGGAGGCGTCAGCGGCGCCAGTGCCGGGGCGCCGACACGCCCGCCCCCGTGCTCAATCGCACCATAGCGGACGCGGCCTGCGGGAGGGGTGTCAGGTACGGCGGCCTGAGACGGGCGTCCGATATCGCAGGCTGAGGACATGCTCGGGCGAGGTTGGCCAAGGTCATCAGCCATTCGCCGGGCGTGAGCGGGGAGGGGGGGGGGGGGGGAATCAACCGAACAACCTGGTGAGGGCATCGGGCAGCACCAATACGAAAAATGGAGACGGATAGGCGGAAAGCATCTCAAATGTAGAACACACCTCACGGAGTCCCAAACGGTGTCGTGATATGGCGAACCCATGCAAAACGCAGCCAAGTCAAGTGCAGCGCGCTTCGCTTGGCTGGCTGTTCGACACGCGGCCAATCTGAGCGTATAGTCTAATGGCAGCATTGTAATTTCTGCTCGGCAAAACAGACTGTGCTGCCCTGTTACCTACTTGGCCAGCTCCACCGCCAGCCAACGCAGCCCCACAACACGTAATTTAGGTATCGGTGCTTGGCAAGACATGCCTAGCGGTCACAAACACAAAGTTTGGGCCCCAAACAGGCGTATATACGGACGGATTGTGTATGATATCCGCTATCACAAACATGGAAGCAGAGGTCTTGTGAACCGTCCATAAATCACGTTACGCATTTCTGATAATTTTTCAACCCCTCCTCCCCCTGGTCACGCACTGGTTACACCGGTCGCCCCCTCCCCCCCCCCCCCCCACTCCCCCTGATACGCTGCGTCAAGCGCAGCATCCGTCGGGCCCCTAACTGAGTTGAAAGATGTGGAATAACGGGCATTTTCCTGTCAGACTGGAAGTCAAACGGAATCTGGTAATAAAGTTTAATTCGGTTTTGAAGATTTTAACATTATGTGTAACCACACTTCGTGTAACGCAGCCCCACAACACGCTGTCAACACAGCACACGTTACGCTGTCCAAAAGCTCCCCTCCCCTTGTCACGCTTCCGTTACGCCCCATGACAACTTGGAGGAGGTTTAGGGG